TGAGTTAGTTTGTATTGGAATTAACAGTCGTGATTTCTATTATGATTTACTGTAAAAAATTTTGGTACAAAACTTACAGACTATTGCAGTACGTAGTTAAGGTTGAGTTAGTTTGTATTGGAATTAACATTCTTGATTTCTATTATGTTTTACTGTAAAAAATTTTGGTACAAAACTTACTCGCAATTACGGTACGTAGTTAAGGTCGTGTTAGTTTGTATTGGAATTAACAGTCGTGATTTCTATTATGATTTACTGTAAAAACTTTTGGTACAAAACTTACAATCTGTATTTGGTTAAGGTTGAGTTAGTTTGTATTGGAATTAACAGTCGTGATTTCTATTATGATTTACTGTAAAAAATTTTGTTATAAAACTTACAAGCTGTATTTGGTTAAGGTTGAGTTAGTTTGTATTGGAGTTAACAGTTGTGACTTCTATCATGATTTACTGTAAAAAATTTTGGAACAAAACTTACCGACTATTGCGGTACGTAATTAAGGTTGAGTTAGTTTGTATTGGAATTAACGGTCGTAATTTCTGCTGTAAAAAATTTTGGTACAAAACTTACACGCTGTATTTGGTTAAGGTTGAGTTAGTTTGTATTAGAATTAACAGTCGTGATTTCTATTATGATTTACTGTAAAAAATTTTGGTACAAAACTTACTCGCTGCTGCGGTACGCAGGTAAGGTTGAGTTAGTTTGTATTGGAATTAACAGTCGTGATTTCTATTATGATTTACTGTAAAAATTTTGGTACAAGACTTACTTGCTATTTCGGTACGTAGTTAAGGTTGAGTTAGTTTGTATTGGAATTAACAGCGTGATTTCTATCATGTTTTACTGTAAAAAAATTTGTTACAAAACTTACTCGCTATTGCGGTGGTGCGTGTAGCTAAGTTATTATTCTAGTTTTAAATTTAAGGCAACAAAATTTACAAACACATATTATACTTACAATCCTTCAACCAATTTATAGGCCTCCGTTGCCCACGTATCTCTCGGTTTAATTTTTAATAATTTCTTAAAGTTAGCAATTGATTCCTTATACCTTCTCATAATGTAATTAATTTCACCTTGATATCTCAGTGCTGTTATATTGTCTGGTTCGATTTCTAGTAATTTAGTTAAGTCTTCTACTGCTTTATCATATTTACCCAAAATAAAAAATATTTTTCCTCGATAGCTTAATTCAAATATATTATTTTGTTTGTTTTCTTCTAATGATTTTGTCAACTCATTAACTAAATCGGCAAGTGATGCACCGTCTTTGTCTATAATTAAATAATCTTTTGTTTGGTATTTTAGTGAAAGTGCATTTTCGTTATTTGGCCTAATCAAGTTTTTTATTCTATTGATTATCTCAAATGTATTGTTAATATTGATATTTTCGTTGGTCATTGCTATTTTAATAATTAAGTAAAATGTATATAAGTTTAAATCCCATTTATCACGTAGTGTTAAATAAATTTACCATAATATTTGAATTTTTGGTGACCGAAGTTCACTTTTACAGACCCGCCTTGCGATCTAAATCCAACACAGGGATATAAAATGCCTTTCCAATTATCAGGCAGATTGCACGCAATTCCTTGAAATATATTATGATAATATTTAATTTCTATCTTATCAGAATTTGAAAATATAATAAGGTGTTAATTACCCAAGTTAATTCCATTTTTAGTATAAAATACTATCTTATTTATGTAATTTAAATAACATCCAATAATATCGCCAGTAGTATATGTTGGTCCATACGGCACTACACTTCCAGAACAAAAAAAATATCCATCGTCACCATGGTAACCACATTCCCACGATTCATTTTTCTTATTTCCCTCATTTTTTGCATTTTCATTATTTTCCTGTCCTGAAAGATATTATAATATAGATGTTAATACAGTCAACTCCCGCTATAGTCACACTGTCTGGCAGAAACTTGATGTGACTATAGTGAGAGAAACATAATAATAGTCACATCATGTGATTATAGTGAGAGTTAATTTTATATTACTTTAAATGATTGGTATATTGTCTCAAGAAAATGTGACTATTTCGGGTGTGACTATAGCGGGAGTTGACTGTATGTAATTATAAGAAATAATAATAAAATAAAAATTTTTAATACCAAGCATAAGCATATTCTTTATATAATCTGTTTTTTCATTTGAATCGTCTATTTTTTTAACATTTTGTTTCGTACAGTATCCGATTCCAATCATTCTATTAAAAAATAGAATTAAATATTAATTAAAAAAAGATTGCAAGAATAATAGTGTTGTTTATGGCATAAATAATTATTAGTATTACCCATTTTCCCCTCTATTTATAATTTCAATTTCAAAGTAAAATATTCCGCATCGTAAAGGGATTGGATGATTCGCTCGAATTATAGCAGCTTTAAAACCATCAGGATCTTTAATTGAAAGTTTTTAATAAATTAGCAAGCTGTGTGTTATTTACGATTAACACTCATCAAATCGAGATGTTGACCCAATAAAATTTGATTCTTATTTCACATTACCCGTATAATTCACTTTAAGACTTGAATCTATCTTAATAAATGGTGACTTATCCTCAATATTCCATGCTGTCGGTAAAGCATCATCGTTGTGTAAATCATCCATTGGGTTAATATTCGCAGATGAGAAGCTTGAGAGAATCTTCAATGTGACAATTATTTGTATTTTTTTTTTTTTAAAAAAAAAAAAAAATTTAGGATGGTATAAAATTTTGAAAATTGAATGGTTCTGTTATTTAGACTTTTGATCAGAGACTGACAATTAGTGAACAGAAATCACATAGCGATAGCAATTTAGGATTATTTATATCGGTATGTACTGTACTGTACGTTAGGGTGTTAAATGCACTATGTAAATCAAATTTATGTAAAGTCTCACTATTGAATTTTTTGTGTAACGAGGACGATGATTTATATTAAAAAACGCAAATTTTATCAAATTTATTATGTATATAACACTTTTTTTTTAAAAAAAGCGCTCTTTTAGTCTGAAATATAGGTTCTGCAGAATAATAGAGTAAAATTTTTAAAGTTAATACGTAATTTACTGAGGAGATACAATTTGAAATTTGATAATTTTTTATAGTCGTTTCATATAAGATTTTTAAATTTCAAATTGTATCTCTTCTGTAAATTACATATTAACTATTTTGAAAATTTTTCTTAATTGCTCGGCAGAATCTATATTTTAAACTAAAAGAGAGATTTTTTCAAAAAAATTTTCACCAAATTTTTATTTAAATTTATTGAAATAACCTATTTGTCGCGGGCGGTGATGGCATCCGGATTTCATTTATAATTACATTTAGGATTAGAAAGGTCATAGCATGTAGTAAAATTATGCAAGGAGTATTTTATCTTAAGTCACGGAAGTTGATTTCATAGGCATAATTTTGAGTTATTTTGATTTAAAAATTTTGAATTTTTGTAACTGCCGGTGACAAATAGATTCGCCCATATTTTATTAACAATGATCAAGTAGTTTACTATAGTTATTCGTGATCGTTACACAAAAAATTGTCTATTCAAACATATGGGACTATACATAAATTTGATTTACATAGTACCCCAATGGAACGTATTTACCGTTCCGCTTGCCACTCTTAGGCCGAGAGTATACAATAGTAAAAGAAAAGGTTACACATTACCTGTTGCTTAAAGGTTTAATAATATAAAAAAAGAAAGGTAAAAAAGAAAAGGGATATGATCATCAGGAAAAAATTATACTGTACTGTATTTTATTGTTATCCATCATTTTAAGATTTGTCCAAAACACGTTTGTTAAAACACTTACCGTATTTTCGCGTAATAACGTTCGAAAATCGTGCCCCTAAAATAATATATATAGTTTCAAAATAACGCTCATGCGCGTCCCAAAATAGCGCGCACCCCATAGTAAGGGATGTTTATTTATAGTAAGATTAAAATATTTCGGAACTGGATTTAGTACTAAGTAAACTTTCGAACTTCAACAAAAGTTGTTTTTCAAAACAACTTTATTAAAGCTCGAAAGAAGGTTTACTTAGTACTAAATCTAGTATTTTTATTTGTTTACTTTTTATACAAGAGTTACCTTAAAGTTCCTAATATTAATATAAGCAATCCTCTAAGCCACTCATTTTGGCTGATTTTTTAGAAGGGTTGCTTAATTTCAGTAACTTTGAAATACTTAATTCTATTGGCCAATTCTAAAAGGGTTGCTTATTTTAATTTTTTTTTAGTACTGTATTTTAATATTAAGATTGAGGAATTGCTTATTTTCGGGGATTGCTTATATTCAGGACTTTACGGTACTTAAAATTTTTTAATTGTCTCAAAATAACGCGCAGGTGAGCGTAGCGTTATTACGCGAAAATACGGTATATGCCATTGTTGGAGTTTTTTAATGATCACGTTACATTTATACATCGATCAAATCGTTTAATAATAAAAGTCGCAAAAATTAATTAGTTAGCAATAAAATCAACTTAACCATTGAAATTCATTCTTATTTCTAAAAATATTTGAAGTGAAGTTTCGACTTCACTTAAACAAATTATACTATCCAAACGTATAATTTTAAACTTGCTGATTAATAAAAGAAATCATTCAATATACTCCCTCTATTTGCTATAATGTCCTGCTTAATTTTAGAAACTGGTTAACAGAGAGAAATTAATTAATTTAATTGGCCTAAAGAAAATTATTTCATTTCAAGTTAGTCGGTTTATGATAATCACTGTGAGGATAAAAAGAAATTATTCAATTATCGTTATGAATTTACAGTATTATAACTAAATATGCAAGTTTTTATTTATTGACTTTATAAAAAATTTACACTATTTACTAAATTAACAAGTCTCAGCGCTTTATATTAAAAAAAAACCATGCTAATCTAAATTAGAATTTGATTTAAAATTATCAAGTTCAGCTTTAATAAATTCTTCTTCCTCATCAAAAATTATTCTATTTTCTTCAAAATCTACATCATCATCATCATCATCCATAACCCTACTATATCCATTATCTGAGAATAAAGCATTTTTATACAATTTTAAAAATTGGACACTTTTGAATTCACATTTTTGACCAGTTCTCCTTGAACATGTAATTAATATCCAAACAGAAATACCATATAATACACAAAGTATTGGAAATACCAACATGCATAGTAGGTTTGTTAATCTGATATTACATGCTAATCGAATCTCTGAGGTTTCATATGTATAATCTTGTGGACATGCTAATGGGATATCACCCATTTCGTAAAATGTTAGATATGTATATAATACTGAAAGATTAAATGGAAAGGATCAGAATATTTGAAAAGGTAAAAAGAAATACTTGAATACCATAATGAAACTTACGTACCTGGAACAGCAATCCATAAAATTGGAAATAAATATCTAAAAAAAAATAAAAGATTCGAAATATGTTTAGTATTAAAAATAAATGTCATGAATATGTATAGAAACAGATTTTTCTAAGACATTTATAATGATAAATACATTAAAATTCTTTTAAAGTATCGCTTCTGCAAAAATATATTAGCTGCACTACCCTCTTTGCTGGTTAGACAGCAAAAAAATGTTGTAGCTATGAAATTTCGAAAATAAATAAATAAAAGAATGACCAGATACAGTAAAATAAATAAAGAATTAAATTGAAATCTGTTATTTACCTATCGGAAAAGACGAAGTAAACAAGTACCTGAAAAAATTAATATAAATGATATTAATGCTACCGTAATCATTGAAGAAAATGCTGTAAAATGAAAAAAAGGTATTATTACAAAATTTCGATGAGCCAGTTTAGTTTTAGTGCGCCATTAGTTGAAATAAAGGCAAAAATCTTGAGCACTTCTGTAAAAAAATCAAGGGGATATTAGAATAAAAAAAAAAAACTAACAAACATGGATCTTTGACTAATATTACCAAACATTGGACAAAAGACAATCAATAATAGAGTTGGATACGCGAACAAAGCGGTTAGGACACAAAATGGAAAAAATGAAATATATGTCATAATGCTGTAATGTAAACTTCAAGACAAATGTTAATAAGTTATAACGGTTTAAAAAAAATTTTTTTAAAATAAGGAGTACGTAGGAATTTTTTACATTGTAACTTAGTACTAACACTAAAGTTTTCTCATGAAGGGCGTTTAATTTGTAGAAATCTTGACAAGAACATGGCTCTAGACAATAAGTTTTCCGCTAAAGGAAATTCATTCTATTCGTTTGGAGGCTTAGCGTTATACATGGCTTAGAGCGTTATTATTGTCAACACTTCGCTGAGACATTATTATCCGAAGGTTTCCGGATTTTATCATTCTTTTAAGAATGCGTCTTACTTTATAAAGATATAAAATGATCGTACGTAAACTTCAAACTAGATGAATTTTAATAAATCAAACATCTGGATATGGCGAAAAAAGCTAGATTAACGCTTTATCCTTGTTATTATAATTTAAAGTTTATAATTACCGCTGAATGAATATAACAAATACATATATGACTGATTATGACAATTGTCTTTATCACCATTAAATAAAGGAATTCTTGACGTTGATTGGAGGAGTGAAATGAAAGCCTTTCAAGCCTTACTCTACTGAATTTCGGGAATTCCCGGCTCCCGTTCAACTAGTCCTGATTTAGGTCAGAATCAAACAATTTTGAAACCAAATTAGGATCAGGGATACCAAAATCTTGGTTTAAAATATATAGTAGCTTGCTCTTAATAAAACATATACTGTATTAACTGACTTAATAAAAGACTGGTTTTTTTAAAAAATATATATAGTAATTCACACATTTAACGTTTCGGTACAATTTTTAATTAATTTTGATAAACTTTATCGACTAATTTCCTTAAAACCAAGCATTAGTCATCAAGAAAGTACTGTGGTCAGATGTTTATTATTAACCAAGTTATACGCAAGAGTTACCTTCCTGATGTGTACATTGCTATATACGATAGGATCATGAAAATAATGCAAATAAAAAGGCATCATTCTGAATCCACAATCATAATTATAGACATTCATTTTTATACACTACTCGCATAGTATTAGTCACTATTTCAGTTACGTTCCGAAAAAAATGTGATCAAAAATGATTTGTTCGTCTTTCGATGACCTTGGGTTTAACATAATATTACAGGCAGTGCAAATATTTTTAACACTTGCTCTGCCTTGTTTGCGCGTCGAAGGTGCATCAGGAGTGCGTAGAGAGTAATCTAAGTTTGCACTAGGTATGTCTCCTGAATATTTTATGTAATCCAAAACTAAATTATAATTATTACTATATGATCAGGGTTATAATTTGAAAATAGTTTTCCGACATATAGTAATTTCAATATACTAAACAAGACTGAACAGCTGCTAAAAATTGAAAAAAATCTTTATTTACCAACCGTACGAAGCTTAAAGATGATCAACAGTTCTCAAGTTATGGCCATGATACGATGGCAGTTATAAAAACTGAAAAAGGGTAAACATTCGCTCATCGTATAACGTCGAGTTTACTCGAATGAACATGTTGGTATCTCAAGAACAACAGATCAATTTCAATTATTTGTGGTTTAAAAATGAATGCTATGATCTTAGCATTCATTTAAGCCTAAATTAGAGATGGCAACCTGCCAGCTTTTTTTTTTTTTGATTGACGTTTTTAAAACAAGTGCTTAGAATAAATTTGATGATTGATTTTCTTTATAATTCATCATATTACCGAAAAAAAATTTTAATTAAGCAATTAATTATGGTGTGCTAGATAATCTTCTCTACGAAAGTCATCACACACCATAATATTGGACAATTTTGAACATTTGGACAATGCCCAATTTATTAAATAATTTGGGAGGATAACCCCTTGGCTACGTATATTTTATGAACAAATTATTAATTTTGTTAGCCATTCAATGATCCGACTCGAATAAACTTTTTTTATTTCACAGAACTTGCTAAGCTTTACAAAATAAAAAAGTTGTTCGTTGGACAAATTTATATTTTGCCCATAAAATCTACATCGTCCCAGAGGGTCATTTTGTTAGCAAAGTCCCCATTTAATTAGACGTAAAAATTTTTATCGCTATATTTGACATAAAAATTTGGAAGGTTAGAATGAATATAGTACAGTCCCTTCCAATTGGATGTAAGCTTATTACTACATGTACCTAATTTCTGGGCATTTAGCACAAGAACTTTCTCACCTATATTAAAATTTTTAGTGGCTTTGGTACATCAATCATGATGTTCTTTTTGCTTTTGCTAAGCCACATCGATCTGGCACTGGAATGTAGTGGTAATTGAGCCATCCTCTCATATATCAAGTAAAAAGGCATTTTACAAGTCATGGCTTGCTTTGCCATCCAATAAGCAAACAGTATTGATGGTATAATCAAATTCTAGTCAGTTACATTTGTCACTAATCATGCAATAGAGCTGCACAGGGTCTTGTTAAAGTGCTTAACAAGCCCATTTTTCTGCGAGTGATAGGGGGTGAAGCAGTGATGCTTGGTATTCAAAGCCACAAGTAATTTGTCGATGATGTGATTATTAAAATGAGGTCCTTGATCTATTAGTATTATGCTGGGGTAGCCATGTCTGCATATTATGTCATTGTAAATAAACTTGGCCACTTCTTGGGTATTAGGGGGCATCCATATATAACGTTATGTACCCCTACATAGTAGCTCTTGACCCCCTCTAAACTATATAAAAATTTTTTAAAAATCCATATATTTATATATATAATTTTACAAAAATTTGGATATGTTATGACCTAGTGATCCAATTAGGATGATTTTGGTACCATTCGATTCGTCTCTGTGAGACGAATCCAATGGTACCAAAATAATTTCATTTGGACCACTGGATAATGTTTTATTAACGAAATACTATTGATTTTATAGTAATTTTATAAGAAAACATAA